ATGTATTCACCAAATTTCGTTTAAGGTGATGAAGGACTGGTAGTATAATTTTCCCACAATGATATGAGTATAGCTGACGTTTCCATTGCATTTCAAATAGCCTTGCTTTCCCAAAAGTTGTTCTCATCCATCTCATAGTACTGATTTACTGGTAGTCTCGAAACTCTATTTACATACGTCAAAAAAAGTAGCATAAGGGTCTGTTAGTTCTGAAAAGCTACCTCTAAGGCGGACCTTGGTAATATTCAAAAATCAATAATATACAATCTGATTCTGTTGCCAAGACCAAATATATGAGTTTTTACGGTCATTTAATGACAGTCTGCTGAATGAATATGGCAAATTTTTATAGGCGTGATAGGCGTTTTCAAGAAGTTTTTCGAGAATTCTTTTTTCTGACGAACTACGTGATTCGTGGAGAAGGATAAGGCATATTAAACTTGCAATAATTATTTTCCCATCGGGCTCCAGCTCTTGATCGTCATATAAAGTAAGCAACACAAGCGCCTATTGGAAATGTGTTGCCGAAAACTTGCAAGGCTGATCAGCTGGGAGTGTGATTTAGAGAAGGTCGACCAAACTCTAATAAATTCAATCAAAGGTGCGAAAAACAAGATAAAATAGCCTCTGGTTTAGTCGCAGGCTTCTTAATTTGAATAGAATTCGTATGAACTAGTTTCCACAACTTGTTCATATTGTCAGATAGTCCCAAGCTGGGATTTATCATGGCTACTATAGTGGAGGATGTCGGTCTTCAACGTCATCCTTACAAAAGTAACAAGTTGCATGAACGAAGCTAGACTAATTCTAAAAAATCGCACAAACACTGACGTATAACTTAAGCTAAATTATGCTGGCCAAAGCATACAACTCGAATTAGTATAAACCGCAGAAATATTTTCTTAAACTAAAGAATATGGTGAGATGGAGTGATTAAATTCATAAATGCCGTCATCGTAAGCAATGAAACGTTAAAATCAGCTCAAGGAATTTGACATAGGAATAGAAGATTGATGAACTAAATAATATTTTAGGAAGTGGGTTGACCTCGTTGTCGCAAATTTGTCTTGTTGTCAGGGCGACTATGTAGAATGCACCGAGTCCAAGGTCGTCTGCCATAGTAGTTGTCATAATTCCCAGCATCAGACAGTGGACTTGGTACATTCTCAAAAAATTCGCCGGCATCATAGTCGGCACCATCAGGGAGTGCTGCCATTCTCCGCTTCAAGCTACGAACTCGTCAGATAGAAAAGTAAAGTCAATCCATCGATAAACGTTCTGCCGAAAACGGTTACACTATCACTCCTCTATCTGGCCTGTCCTATCTATACACTCTTTGAACTCTTATCCAACTTCCACCCTATCACAACTCCTAACTTGTTTTCAATCCACTTGTCAAAATTTGTGCCCTTTTAATGGCAAATCTAGTGTAGCCTAGTCACACTTGCCATTCATCTTGGTCCCATCTCATTCGATCGGTTACTCTGACTCGGGCCTTTTATCCGGATCTCCATCATGGCTCAGTTGATCCGTTTCTTCTCTTTCTTGTTGACCGATTTAACTCGATTCCATCATCTCGGTATATTGTATTTTGTCCATTATCACTGTCGCTCCTACTTAATCTGTTTTCCGTGTCTTGCTTATCCTGGCAAATCTGTTCTTATGCTGACAAAAAAACAATATACTGAGAGGATGCAATATATTCTACGAGACAGGACTACATATCGTAAACTGAAGAAGGACCGAACTATAAAGATCAATGGAATCTTAAGCGACGTGCCGTAAAATATGCATAGTAACAGGAAAATTAACGCATGGACAACAAATCCAGTCATAAGGAAGAATTCGCAATCACCAACAGTCTATAGATTACCAGAGATACACAAAGAAGGAGAACCATTAAAGCTGATAGCCAACCACAAGTATGGAACAACATACAAATTGGCAAAATTCCTATGTGGGAAACGCAGGATATCAAATGAGAGGCTAGCAAACATGGTGAAACAGTCATATGAATTTTATCAAAAAATCAGAAACATGGTACTGGAAGAAACAGGCCCATTGGTAAGTTTTGATGTAGAATCCATGTATACAAATTTCTTCGGATAAAATGCAATACCGGCTCTGCTGGAAATCATGGACTGAGACAAGGATAACATGGAATCTGAAAGTGTCAGGAGGGAGTCGTTAACATATCTAATCAACTCGACAACAAAGACACCCCATTTTGCATTCAACATGACCATCTTTGAACGAATAGTTGGACTTCCCATGGGATTGCCGCTCTCATCTTTTTTGACAGGCAGATACATGAACAGCTTAGAAGAGAATTTCAAGATGTCCCTGCTACAACCAGCAGTGCTCATGCGGTACCTGGATGATTACTTCGCACTTTGGTCACATGGAAGAGAAATACTGTAAGATTTCTGATTCTTATAAACCAGATTGATGAAAATATTAAATTCACGATGAAAGTAGAGAAAAGTGAGCGGTTAGCTTTCCTGGATGTTGAAGTGAATCGCTATAATGGGACGCTTGAGAAGAAATTGTTCAGGAAGAAGTCTTATGCTGGGATAACACTCAATTGCCATTTCCATCACAACTACAGGCTGAAGATATGAATAATGAGGAGCAGGATCATCCGAAGTCTACTTTTAACGGATATGAAATTCTCGAATAGAGAATAGGAAAAATTGACAAGGATATGCCTTGGCAACGGCTACCCAAGCGAAGTAATACACAGAAACATATGGGTCGTGAAAAGCCGATGACAGAACGGAGACTACAAAATAACAGTAAGTATGGATAAGAATTCATAACAGTTGATATGCCTACCTTCCTGTGAACTAACTCAAAAACTACAGTCAATATTAAAGAAATAGAATTTTCGGGTGGCCATGAAGGAAAAAACGCTACCCTTTACATGTCTACCGACGCAACACGAAGGGGCGGACAAATGGGATTGTTCAGGAGTTTACTGCATAGCATGCAGCGTCTGCGAACACGAATATATTGGCGAAAGAGAGAGAAAAATTAGCATACGAATCAAGGAACATCAAAGGCTCTGCAAGAAAATGGATACCGAAAGATCAGAAATAGCGAAACACATCGTACAGACTGGACACGAAATCATTTGGATGGCAGCTTAAACAAGGGCCTCATACGGTGAAAACACAAGGAAGCCAAAGATTACGGAGGTCCTTGCTATTCTTGTGGAAAAAATCTAATGACAAGAGATTGGAGGAAGACAGATTTAGCAATAACTTTGCCTACTGCTTAAGCAAACTTGAGAAAAACAAGAATACAGTAAGAGCAACAAAAAAGAGACGCCTAGATCAATGATATATTGCCAATATAAGGAAATGGGATCACGATCATAAAATTGAGGAGAGGAAAAGTTCGAAAATCAAGCGAAGACTCTATCAGTGAGTGATGACTTTTCGAAGTAACCAGTACAACTTTGGGGGCCCGGCAGTCAGGGAGCTAGGAAGACGGATAAGCAGAGCCGTCACAGAAATTCGGCATTATGACAAAAATGTACTAAAAATCCACTTGAGATGCTACATACGACCAGGATTATGGTTAGACATCCACAGCTTGCTCAGGTAACACGGTTTAATCAAAGATACGTCGCGTGAAGACGATGCCTAATATTTGCAAGCATGGGAATCAGAGCTTAGGCGCTCTGATCGGTGAAGCAGCAGTGTACATGATTCTGAGGCCTTGAGAAATAGCGCCAGGAATAAAACGCATACTGGGACTGGAAACGAATGAAATTGGTCAACCAGAAAGATAAGAAACGGATCTACGGGACCACGAGGGAGATCAGGACAGGAGACCCAAGTCGGATTAGTCGATCGAAAGAGAGGGGGTCAGGGTGAATAGCAGGTGTGATAAGGCCACAGGAAATTTGCCAAAAACGGGCACACATTTTGACGATTTGAATATAACCAAGTCAAAAGTTGTGACATGGTGGGATTCGAATAAGAGAGTAAGGAATAGATAGATGGACCAGGACAGAAAGAGGAGTGATAGTGTAATCGTTTCGGCGGAACGTAAGTCGACGGATTGACTTTTAACGAGTTTATAGCTTGGTGTAAAGAATAACAAGACTCACTGATGTTGCAGACTAGGATGCCGGAGAAATGTCTGAGAATGATAGCTACCATGGCAGAGGACTGCGGACAAGGTGCGTTCAATTAGGTCTCCCATACTACATGTCCATATTGTGAAAATGAGGTCATCCCACTAGCCCTGTGCTACTCTCAGAATGAGGCCCCCCCAAATGAGGAGAAGCATTGTGTGGAGATGTTGGTTATATTAATTAACGTAACCGACAAGCTGTCTGAGAAAGTTAAGAGTAGTATATAAAGAGAAATGATTGCTTTTCCCGAGCAGGCAGATATTTACACTTCAATAATTTGTTTTTATTTGAGACAGATAAGGATTGTGCAGTAGTCATCATGGGTAAGTTGAGTTATATAAGAAAATTGATGATCACTTTTAATGACACAGAAATATACAAATATTTTGTGATGGTAGGGTAGACAAATTCATCTACCAGTCCTACATCACCTTAAACGAAATATGGTGAATACACCTTATAGAATGTTTCTGCCAGAGTATAACAAGAACTCACCAAATTGGCGTAGACACATCTTGACGTGAGCTGTCGGATGTCCAATCTCTGTCATTGTGGATTGAATGTGTGCTGCTTCTTTGCTTAACACGACCTTCTTTCCCACCGGCAGGTTTCGTCATGATTGGTGGCTTCGCTGGCAGTGGGAGAGTCGGCCGTCTGTTCTCGACTAAACACGGATTGGCCAGATGAGGACCATTCTGCCTGGAATTGGCCTGATCGCATGCCTCCCAGGAGCTGGTACTTTCGGAGGTTAGTGGGCAGATATCTTGTTCGTAGACGGAAGTGTTGGGGTTCAATTCAGGCAGTGTCATGTGCTCAGACCATTCAGTACCCATGACTCCTGCTTGACTCGAAGTGGAACTCCTCGTGGCCACAACAGCCGTTGTCTGTCGCACAAAGTCAGTAGATGGGTTGGACGACTTGCAAGAGGTGCAGTGAGCTCGAAGCCTACCAGAGGCTTCCTGACAGTTGGTGACAGCTTCCAGGTCCCGAAATGAACCATGAGTAGCTATAACTGGAGACATAGGAGTTGGCGGGGCTATTGGAGCACGACTCCGTGAACCTTTCAAGCCGAATGGGGTGGCATGACTTCGCTGTGGTCTGGATCCTTCGACGACAACTGGAGGGTCTTTCTCTCGAACACCAAGAATTGAAGTTGAGTGGTTGTCGCTTTCGCGCGAATGTCTTTCCTTGGCAGGAGGCTGTACCTATTCATAAATGCAGTGAGGCAAAGATAGATTTGCAAAATAACAAGGGATGTACGTTGTTGAAATAGCGCAGGTTCAATTGCAAGGATGTAGACTAGGTTTAACGGCAATAGTGGTCATGCTGATGATAGGTTTAACCTAATTATTGTATCTAGTGCTGAAGCTGTAGATCTATAAGTAATTATAGACTGGACCAGATGAAGACATCAGTCTTTTTGATATTCTAACGCCGGGTGATTAAGGAGATGACTAAATTGACTAAAGAATTCTAAATTGAAAGTCTGCCTTGTTCTTGATTTATTGAAAGTCTCGATATCTATCAACATTTCGCAATCCACATAGGAGGAATGCGCATATACGCACAAACACACACACCTACAGATAGTTATGAATATTAATATGGAAACTATTTTCACCCTATTTCGTCTAAGGTGATGAAGTACGGATAATTGAATCCAGCCACAATGAGCCGAGTATACCTCACGTTTCCATTGAATTTCACATAGGCTTGCTTTTCAGAAAGTATTCCCCTACAAGCAGAAGTAGACTGCAGTTTCGACTTCGCTTGGGTCCCGTCAGCACCCTCAGTGGGACTCGAACCGGGATTGTGATAGTGCGATGTTGAGTTCCGACTTATTAACCACTACACTACATTTCCACGAGTGATCCTGGGTTACAGGGTAAGTGTGAATTTCAAGTAAGGTCAGGAATTTTTACATATCATATTCTGTGGCAGGATTGTTGATCAAACATAGTTGTGTTTCAAATTACAATCGACTATATTACTTATTTTCGTTTGTAGGTAGTTGTTCGAGATCACCAGTAGATCTTAAATGAGAATGGAAATACAATTATGGAATAAAAACCATGTGAAATTTAATGAAAACGTGAGGCCTACTCATGCGATTGTAGGAAAATTTAACTACTAGTCAACTACTATGCTAAATGAGTGAATGAAGCTCCTATGCAAGATCTACCGGTGTTCTCGAAAACCTACACTCAAACGAATATTTGTATACTTTATAAAATTCTTTTTTTAAAGATAAGCCATTTACTTCTCTCGACCTGCTGTTGGCTTGGATAAAAATGGCTTCCAGTTCCAATGGTATTGGTGTAGAGAAAGATTAAAATCTAGCAGCCCTTTAAAGGCAGAGTCGCGATGGCACCCATAAGAATGAGGATGAAGGGTAAAAGGGTCTATTCTTAAATTAACTATCCATAGGAACCTCGCTGGCCCATTTCTTCTGAACAGCTCATTCGGAACACACAGTTCCAAGGACAAAACGGCTTGCAATATGCGCCCTATAGGCATGCAGGCCGCAGAACCGGCTGCTGACGAGAAAGAACGACAAAATGAGAATGGCGAATCATATCAGAAGGGTACAGTAGACCAGATCAGGAGGGGTACAATGGGTTCCCATCGAGAGGCTAGGAGCGAGAATTCGCAGATTCTACAGAATAGAGGGTAAAAATAGAAGAGGAATAAAGAAAAAGTTGGAATCAGAGAGAAGGGCTAAGACGCCAGAGAGCTCAAGACGGTAGTTCTGACGACCTATCCTCACAGATGTCCATAAAGAAACAAATTGTGATTTTCCTTGCCATCCAAAACTTATTCCCAACCCGGCTATACTGGACTGCAGTTTCGACCTCCCTCGGGCCTCACTTGTACCCAAACGGGACTTGCAGTCGGTTGGTGCAACATGCAATTTCTATACTTTAACACTATACTAAACTGCCACGACTGCAAGTTAATCACAGGGCAGAAAATAATTTGAAAGCGAGCCAAGCCATCTCCATGTAGCATTTATTGTGGGATTGCCGATATGGCAAACTCGAATTTTTCAATTACTTCAAACTATATATTACATATTTTTTAGTGTTTGAGTAGAGTTTCGAGACTATCATTAAATCAGTAATATAAGATGTATTCACGCTATTTCGTTTAAGGTAATGAAAGACTGGTAGTCGAATTTTCCGACAATAATATGAGTAGAACTGACGTTTCCATTGAATTTCACATAGCCCTGCTATATAGATGTATCTTGGACTGCATCAACTTAAATGACGTATTAAGGCCAAACGGCTGAAGTACAACGAAAATCAACAAACTTCTTCAGGTGAGATTGACCTACGAATCCCTTCATCATGTAATTCCATACAAAATGAAAGTCTTAAAATAAATCTTACCTCAGGAGATTCTTCAACCTAGCGTTTTCTTCGTATATACAAACGTAAATTTCATGTAACATCAGCCGTCATCCATTTAACATTTAAAGAATAACTGTTTTTTTGCTTTGTTATTATTATCGACTATGCTATGCATGGGAAGTAGGCTTTTATCCTATCTGTAGATCTTGAGTAAGAGTACTAATCAACTTAGGTCTCATAATATGATAGTTGAGACCTAAGGTGACTAGAATTATTAGTCAGGGTTTATCGATAGTCTCAAGGCTAACTTACTATTAGTTTAAGTAATATATAT